TTATTTCGATGTGTTCACTTACTACACAATAGTTTAGTGATTCCAATATGCAAGTCACTGTACTAAGTGCTGGGCAGTTTAGGGCAAGAGAAAGTAATATTTAAGAACGTTTCTATATGTTTTCATATGAAGTTCTCTATAAGATAAACAACTATATTTACAGGCACAGTGGTAAACACTTTAAACAACCATCATCACATTTAATCCTCACAAAATATTATACTATTATCAAGATTTTGCTGGCTCAGAGTAGTAATTTGCCCAAGGCCACAGAGTGAGCTAAAATGTGAACTTCGCTCAGCTGCTCCCCACCACTGGAAGATAAAAAATCTTTAATGAGGCCTAGCCCAGCTTCTCTTCCCAGCTCTGGTCTTCTTGCTATTCAACTCAAAGATCTTTTCTGTCATTTAATCTGTCCTGCATCTCTTCTGACATCTGTTCTAGGCTGAACTGTGTTCACCTGAAACACATATGTTTAAGTCCTAACCCCTAGCACCTTATATCAAGACCCTATTTGGAAATAGGGTTGTTCTAGATGTAATTAGTCAAGATGAGGTCATACCAGAGTAGGGTGAGCCCTTAATTCAAGGTTAACTGGGATCCTTGGGGTCAGTTAAGCATTGGATTTTGGCTCAGATCATGATCTCCGAGTCCATGGGCTCCCTGCTCAGTGGGGAGTCTTCTTTTCTCTCCTCCTCTGGTCACCCCACACACCTCTTGTGCTCTCTCTTACTCACTCTCTCAAATAAATAAATAAAATCTTTTAAAAAAAGATATAATTAGTATCGGGATGCCTGGGTGGCTCAGGTTTGAGCATCTGCCTTTGGCCCAGGGCTTGATCCTGGAATCCGGGATCGAGTCCCACATCAGGCTCCTTGCGCTTGGAGCCTGCTTCTCCCTCAGCTTATGTCTCTGCCTCTCTCTCTCTCTGTGTCTCTCATGAATAAATAAAATCTTTTATAAAAAGATAATTAGTATCCTTATAAAAAAAGAAAAATTTAGACACAGCTACAGAGGGAGGGAACATCACATGAAGACAGAATTATGCTGCCACAGCCAAGGAACACCATGATTTCTGGCAAACCTCCAGAACCTAGGAGAAGGGAATAAACAGATTCCCCCTCACAGCCTTAGAAGGAACTAACTCTGCAGACACCGTGATTGCAGACCACTTGCCTTCACAACTATAAGACCATAACTTCTGTTGTTTAAGTCACCCAGGTTTTGATACTTTGTTATGGCAGTTGTAGCAAACTAATATAACATCTACACTTAGGACTGGAACACAAATTTCTACGTTCTTTTTCTGCCTCACACTCCAATACTCCCTTTCTCCATGTATGCAACTTTCTAGCACAGTGAAGTAGAACCAGATGCATTGTTCCCAACTTCAGACGCGAAGAGTTTTTGAACTCTGTGATCATCCACATTTGGGCAGTCACTCAAATGGAGAGGGGTTGGAACCATGAGATTTAAAGTCCACTGCGCTCAAACACCAGTTTTTGCATTTATTAGCTGTGTGACCTTGAACAACTCTCTAAGCTTACATCCTTACTTTGTTCAAGGGGGCTAATGCCACCACTACACATAGGGTCTCAAGGACAATCAAGGGAGAAAATATAATAACTTTAAAATAAAAATTATTATTTATTGTTCCTAAAACAAACTTCAGAATCTACCTTTCATGGGTATTTCAGATGCACATTTGTGCACTTTCTATAAGTATTATAATGTGCTGGTATAAGAGTGACTCTGGCCTTTAGTCTCTATGTAATATTGTCTTCCACTTTTGGCAATATCCAAAATTGAGAGGAGGTAACCCTAAACAACTGAACAAGGAGAATTTATATTAAAGAACCCCTGAATCACCTCAGTGTCCATTACATGTATACCTAGGATTAGAAACAGCCATATGCTAGAACTTCAAAAAAATATGTAGGTCTGGTGCTAAGGAAAGAAATTTACAAATGATAGAAAAGATGCTTAGAAGGCGAAATATTAAGGTATAGGCCCATGATATCTGAGTCTACATAAAAGATTACCAGCTGCTAGAAGACAGATAAGAACAACGTAAGATGCACTTGTTTTCCCTCTGTATAGATACATTGCTTAGAAAAGATTATTTCCCCCCCTTATGTTTCTTGAGTACTTACCAAATTCTCTGCCTTCTATCTAAGATTTGTTTTGGGGGAAGGAGAGGGGAGGAAATCTAAGATGAAATCTAATGCTTAGCACATTAACTTTTATTAACTTTAGATAATTAGAAATTGCTGAAACCACCAAATTCTTTCTTGAAAATGCAAGTGTAGTATGATAGCTTCCAAAAAAGCCAAGGAGGGTATCAGAATGCCCTCTCCTTTTCTCTCATCCTTCCTTAGAACCCCTTCGTTTGTTGTTTTCCCATTTCAAATGCTGCCACAGCCTCAAATCCATCTTTATCTTTCCACATCATCCCTATTCTGTAAGCCCCATGCCATTTTGTACCTTCCCTGTGGCCTTTAGGTACTCTAATCTTTGGTTCAAATCTTAACCCTCCCGCAACTGTGAGAGTGGCAGAAATAAATCTCATTCTTGTAAACTCTGCAGGTTTTTTTTTAAAAAATAAATTTATTTTTTATTGGTGTTCAATTTGACAACATATAGAATAAGGCCCAGTGCTCATCCCGTCAAGTGCCCCCCTCAGTGCCCGTCACCCATTCACCCCCACCCCCCGCCCTCCTCCCCCTCCACCACCCCTAGTTCGTTTCCCAGAGTTAGGAGTCTTTATGTTCTGTCTCCCTTTCTGATATTTCCCACACATTTCTTCTCCCTTCCCTTATATTCCCTTTCACTATTATTCATATTCCCCAAATGAATGAGAACATACACTGTTTGTCCTTCTCCGATTGACTCACTTCACTCAGCATCATACCCTCCAGTTCCATCCACGTCGAAGCAAATGGTGGGTATTTGTCGTATCTAATGGCTGAGGAATATCCCATTGTACACAGAGACCACATCTTCTTTATCCATCATCTGTCGATGGACACCGAGGCTCCTTCCCCAGTGTGGCTACTGGGGACATCCCGCAGCTTTTTTTAAAGCAAAAGTTTAAAAGGTAATTGACTCAACAACTAAGTGAGCAGCCTTTTAGGAGGAGTCGTGAACAGAAACTAGAAGCTCAACACTTTCAACGTGAAAAACCCGTAAGCATCCAAAAAGACAGACACGAACTATACAGACGTGTCAGAATCCCGGTGGTCTCTGCCGTCCTGGTTGGTTCCGCCCCGCCCCCACGTCACCCAGTTCTTTCTTCGCTGAGCTCCTCTTCTCCCTGGATCCGCTCACCGCCACCGTATCCGCGGCGAACCGTCCGGGCTCCGACCGAACGCCTGGTTGCTCGCAGGCGCGGAGACTGGTCGGGAGAGGACGTCAAGAAAAAGGGGCTGAGGCCGCGCAGCCGCAGCTCACGTATTCGCATTTTGGAGTGGAGGCAGGGGAACGGCTACTGCGTGCCGAACTCAAAGTGTTGCCGGCCGCCGGTTAAAGCCGGGTCCCCGCGGGCCCCTCCCCAGCCCCGCCGTCCCGCAGGCCAAAGCTAGGCCGGGCGTCCGGAGGCCCGGGGCGCAGCACTACACTCCGGTCCCGAGTCGGGCACACCGTGGGCGTACCAACTGCACCTACTGGATCCTGATTTGCGCGGGGCCTGCCGTTAGGAAGCAGAAACAGAAAAAGAGTGAGACTCCACTTAGAACCAAGTACCCTTAGAAACCGTAACCAACCGCCCAAGGTCCCGCTTCACCGAACACGTCAGCGGTGAAGCGGCGGTTGCCTGGTGCTGGCTTCCGTTCCACGACAGGCCAGCATCCCCTGCAAACGACACTCCGAGTGACCGAGGCGAGAAGGCGGAGCACGCCGCGCGGGGAGCCGCGGACAGCAGGGTCGACGGAAAAGCGCGGCGCGGCGCGGCGCGGCGCGGCGCGGCGCGGCCCAGGTTAGAAGTGACTCGGGAACTCGGGGGCCGCGGCGCCAAGCCGGCGGCGCAGGGGCGCGCTGGGCCTCCTCGCGCGCCGTAGGACGAGCCCTCGGGGCCTCCGCAGGCCACGCCTCCGGCGAGGAGGCCGCGGCGAGGCTGCCCGCGTTGGTGCCTGTTCCGCGTGTCGGCGACCGGCCGCGCTGAGTCCGGGCTCAGAGCCGCCTCAACCCGGAAACAGAAAGTCTCCGGCCTGGCACCACCGGAGCCACCTCCGCCAGGGAAGGCAGCGCACATGCGCCCGGGGGGGTGGGGGTGGGGGTGGGGTCCTGGGCAGCCCTTAAATACCGTCCTGCGCGCGCCGGCGGCCTCTTTCTCTGCCGCCGCGGAGTCGCGCGGAGGCGGAAGCTCCTGGTGAGTCGGGCGAGGTGGGGGTCGTGGTCTTGCTCCCGCTGCTTTTGGCCAAGGCTGGGTTTCGGCTGATTTGCTGAGTCATCCGGTGTTTTTGCTTGTGTCCGCGTTACAGCGCAGTCAAGATCCGGCTACACCCGTAATCCACCGCCATGGCCGAGGAAGGGTGAGGCCGGGGTGTCGGGGTCGTGGTGCGGGCTCGGGGTGGGCCGCAGCGCCCCAAGGCCGCCTCCTCGCAGAGGAGGATCGAGCGTATTCGCTGGTGGTTTTGACTCGGTTTGGTGCATTTCAGCATTGCTGCTGGAGGTGTAATGGACGTTAATACCGCTTTACAAGAGGTGCTGAAGACCGCCCTCATCCACGACGGCCTAGCGCGTGGAATCCGCGAAGCTGCCAAAGCCTTAGACAAGTACGTGTATCAGTCTCAATACTGTGGGTTGTTGGAACCGGAGCAAAACTGCAGCCGAGGGAAGAAAGCGTCAAGTTCATGGTGTTAGCACAAGAGCTCTGAGTGACGTCGTCCTACAGGAAACCTAGGAAAAGGTATCAGAGCTCGGATCCGTACAGCCCACAAAGTCTGTGGGCGCCTGTTGTGAGTGGGAGTCAGCACTCGGTGTTAACCTAGCCAGCCTACAGCGTTTGAATGATGACTGGAGTCGTCGGATACCCCTCCACTCTCTGCATGAGTGAGACACTAACAGTCTGACAGACCTGTAGCCCGTGGGACCAATTTCGCTTTAAAGGACAGCTAGGAGTCCTCATTTGGCAGCTCGCCAAGGTTGAAGTGTGAAGTTAAAGTAGGGGGTTTCAAGCTATTGTGGAAGTAGCTGGATTGTTGGGAGAATTGAGAAGGCAGTAGCTATGGAGGCGAACACGTGGGAGATGCTGTGACTGTGCTTAGTTTTGGGGCTGGCTACGTTGGCCCAAACAACTGCATGTGTTAACGATTTGAGCTGGATTTTAGTGCGCTTTAAGAAGTTCTTAAGTAATTTTAAGTCTGTTCAGCTCACTCTGGTGTAGACTGGCCACTTGAATCCACTGAAAAGAGCAGTTGGAAGCCCTTCAAGTCCTGGTGTGACTCCCCTGCAGTATTTGTACAGTGGTGGTGCCGCACGGTATTGTGTTCCTGGGCCAGTAACCGGTAACAACTCTTAAGCGTGGTTAGTTCCATACAACAGCTTTTAAACGTGTGGTTGGCTTGCAAGAAAGGATGACAAAAATTTGTGAACTAATGGTACATAAACTTCGTATTGGGGAGTTCACTGAAAGCTCGGTCCTGTAGATGGACGTGTGCTCTTTAACAGGTTCCGCAAACGGAAGGAGTTGTATCTTCCAGCGGGGGGTGTTGCTTGTTTTGCCACTTGTAGTCCTTGCACAGATACATACCTCCCTTATAAAGTGCCAAGAGAGTAGATTCAGACCTGAGATTAAGATTTCTCCTATCGGATTTTGCATTTCAGGCGCCAAGCCCATCTTTGTGTGCTTGCATCCAACTGTGATGAGCCTATGTATGTCAAGTTGGTGGAGGCCCTTTGTGCTGAACACCAAATCAACCTGATTAAGGTAAGTTACCCATTTTTGATTTATCTGAATTGTTAAGAGATACCTTAGTGCAATGAAAATTGAGCCACTTAGAGTTGTCTGGGTTAACGCTACTTTATCCTATCAGTAAATTTTGTAAAGAGCGTGTCCCTGCTTTCTGGTGTGGAACATCACATATACTTGGTATGTTGGACTGTGCTGAAGCTAGTTACGGAAATGTTATATTCCTGTGGAGTTGCTAATTATGGGTGTTGGTGCAGAGTGAGAGCATATTCTAGGTGATATTGGTGCTGTACATGATGACAACTGGCTCCCTCTACTGAACCGCAGTGAGGAAACTGCCATGTCACCCTTTCTGATCACAGCTACCTTTTGGGTCTGATTTATTGTCAGTATTCATGTCTGGTAACTAATCCAGTGATTTTTTTTTTTTTAATTCCACTCAATAGGTTGATGACAATAAGAAACTAGGGGAATGGGTAGGCCTCTGTAAAATTGACAGAGAGGGAAAACCCCGTAAAGTGGTTGGTTGCAGTTGTGTGGTGGTTAAGGTAAGTCAGTATTTCTCTCTGGGATGAATGTTGTGCTGGGAAGCTGCGTGTGTAGGGTTTTAATTGTTAAAAAGTCAGGAAAGTCATAAAGAAATTTGTGATTTTCAATATTTAAAATCCCTTTTCTACCTTTCAGAAAAGGAAAATAGGCTGCAATTAAGCCAGCCAATGAATCTGCTTACCTGAATATGTTTCTGCAGAAATTTAAAAATTGCTGGCAATAGTAATGCCATGTTACGAGCCTTAAAGACACTGAAGTCCTTAAGGTCCCTGAAAATGGCTATAAGAAATTTTAAGTGTTGGGAAACATTTTCCTAAGACACAAGCTGACTTTAACTTTGTTAAAGCTTCACCATAACTAGTGCTAACAACTTGGTAGAGTTTCTAAATGTTTAAAAAATGGTTTTTGTTTATTTTTTTAGGACTATGGCAAAGAATCTCAGGCGAAAGATGTTATCGAGGAATACTTCAAATGCAAGAAATGAACAAATAAAAAACTTGGTTTTTGTTCCTCACCTGCTTTTTGTTTATTCGGGGGCAGTAAAATAAGGTCTCTGTTAGTGACGAACAAAAGATAATCCTTGTAGAATTAGCAAAGTAACTAACTGGAAACCTGCTACGTCTCCTGATTTCTAAAGGAAAGCCTACTCCAACCACTAAAGTGTGGGTAACTGAAAACAATGACTTACAGATAGCTAGCCTTGCAGTGATTGTGACTGCCAAGGTTTCCTAGATGTCATTGATCAAGACTAAGGCTAGGCAGCCTAGGACCTAGAGGAAATGGGCCGAGGCTGGTCAGTGTGGTTAACCTTGGCAGTCTTAACAATTTGGCAGCAGGTTGAAAAAGTTGAAGTCAAACTGCAGATATGGGCAGGATTGGATTTAGGGTATGGGACATAGTAGAGGATGGCCAGAAGTGATTAATAAGGGACATGCCTATTAGAAAAGGTCTGTCCATTGGGTTTGTTAACCCTTGGTGTTAGATAAATGTTAATTAAGCACAGAGGCAGGGTGTGCTTTGATACGCTCAAGTCTCAATCCCAGGGAAAGGTGATTACCCATGTATTTCAGGCCTGGACCAAGTTACTGTGAGCATGAATTAGCCACGTAGGATTAATAGTGTAATCTTAAACCCTGCCAAATTGCTGCCCGGGGCACTTTGAATCTCTACCCTAGTTTCCCAGTATTGCTGTTTAGTTGAGGGGGCACATGTGTGAACCGGAGCCAGATCTGGTTTTGAATGCTCACTTTGTTGAATAAGCCCTTTACTAAAGTCTGCCTTTGGAGAAGTAGCAGCCTCTACCATCCCTGAAAACTGCTGTTCTCTGCCTGGTAGATTTACTGTGGTGGATTGAATGGCCTCAGAAGCTGTATAGAGTTAAAGCCCTAAATAATGTACCCAGGGGTTCATTTACCATTTATTTATTTATTTATTTTTTTTGAGATCTTTTTTTTTTAATCTTATTTTTATTTATTTATGATAGTCACAGAGAGAGAACGAGAGAGAGGCAGAGACATCGGCAGAGGGAGAAGCAGGCTCCATGCATCGGGAGCCCGATGTGGGATTCGATCCCGGGTCTCCAGGATCGCGCCCTGGGCCAAAGGCAGGCGCCAAACCGCTGCGCCACCCAGGGATCCCTCATTTACCATTTAATGTCAACCTGAGCTATCGAATTTCTAAGCAAAGAGCTTTCTGTTGCTCTGAGTTCTGGTTTGTGTCAACATCTGTGAAGCACACCATTGAGTTTTATTCTGTTAATCTGGCACTGTTGGAAGATGTTGATGGAATAGCAAGAACCTTTACCAACTTTGAGGCTTCATGGTTTGTGGGGAATTCTGAAGCTCGTGCTAGGGAGAATGGCCAAGTACAGCACTCTTCATTTTTTTCACTAGACTCCTTTTGGGGGTAGTATGGAGAAAACTGCTCAGTATTCTGTTGTCCCACTAAGATCAGCAGTGCAGCTTTTTTTTTTTTTTTTTTGATTTTAGTTATTCATGAGACCTAGGCAGAGGAGAAGCAGGCTTTATGTAAGAAGTCCGATGTGGGAACCCCGGGGTCCAGGATCACACCCTGAGCCAAAGGCAGACCCTCAGCCACTGAGCCACCCAGGCATTCCAACATGGTTTTTTGATCTTTGCATCTCCATTGTCCCCTGGGAGAAAACCCAATCTCTTCTAGGAATACTCTTGTCCTTGATCCATCTTTCTCAAAATAGGTACTACCCTACTGTGGCTGTTACTCAAAATGCTGCTACTCTGGATGATATCCATGCTCTCGTTTGCTGTTGGCTTCTGTCTTCTAAATGTCAGTGTGACCAAAAAGACCTCATATGGTCAAATCCAGTTGCATCACAGCGTTTTCCTCTTCCCCCTTGCTGGGGTTTTCTTTTTTTTGGGGGGGGGGATTTTCTCATATAGCTTTGCCATCCATAAATGAGTGCATCCACACTTCCTCTTCAGTCTTTTTCTCCCTTTGCACTGTGTTAGAACCAGAGTTGGGCTCTGGCCCATTTCTGTGCAGCCTTCCTGGGACATTACTGCAGCTTGAGATTCCTTTTATTTCTAAATCAGTTCTCATTTTATTTTTGATCAATGGTAGACAAATGATACATTCTAGGGAGCGCCTTGTGAACACCCACTTGAACAAGTTTTGTATACAGTAAGTGAACGTAATCACCCTAAAATGTTTTCATTAGAGGAGTTAACTAACGTATCAGGCTCTCTACCAAGCATTCATCTCTATTTTCTTCCAGTTTTCAGGGCATTGGCATCTGGGGTTCTCTTGAGGACCTTGCATGGTCCTCAAGCTCTTTGCTACAGTAGCCTTTCCGCTAACTGATGCTCACTTAAGGTAACATCCACACAGCTCGGAGAGCAGGAGTTTGAGCTTTATGCTTGAAGTATAGTTTTCCCTACCTGGCAGTCTACTTCAAAACCCAGTTTAAATGTAACTTCATCCCTAATGGTTGTGACCTGTCTACAGCTTTCATGGGATTCACAGCGGAGCTCCTCCATGCTGAAGTACCAAGGCAGAAGCAGCTGTCTTCGTTTTTTACTGGGAAAAATACGTCTGTGAAACCAGTTGGTCTCAGAATCTTGACCTCTCATGGACCTAAGCCAAGCACTTTATACTGTTAATTGGCTCCTATGGTCAGTCAGTGAGACCTGGACATTCCTGTTCACTTTGGCTATAAGAAACCTCCAAATTGGGATCCCTGGGTGGCGCAGCAGTTTAGCGCCTGCCTTTGGCCCAGGGCGCGATCCTGGAGACCCGGGATCGAATCCCACGTCGGGCTCCCGGTGCATGGAGCCTGCTTCTCCCTCTGCCTATGTCTCTGCCTCTCTCTCTCTCTCACTGTGTGCCTATCATAAATAAATTAAAAAAAAAATCTTAAAAAAAAAAAAAGAAACCTCCGAATCAAAATCCTCCCATTTTCTTTGTCCTTACCTCTGTTTTCATTTTTGCTTGGTCTTGGTTTTATTAAAACTTCTATTACATGTATTTTTGGTAAGCCACTTTTAAGTGCTTTTAAAAAAGAACCAGGACATCCACAAAGGAATTTTAACAGGGCTGTATTAAGTGTCTGTTAAAAAACAGGAATTTGTTAGTAATTTTTAACTAGATTGTGGAAGCAGTGAAGCCATTATGCACGCAGAAGTGTTACAAGTCCTAGAACAGTGCGAGTATCAGTTTGAAGACTAATCTAGCCCTTAAGATGGAGCTTGAATTTTTCTTTTTAGGTGAGTATACATATAGAATTAGGTTCTGTTCAAGGGATATGCTCAAGCATTTAATACTTTTTGCTGTACTCTTGAGACCTAGAGGAGGAAGATAAAGATATTTAGCTAAGGAGGGGAAATAAGGGGACAGCTTTCATGACTCCAGGCTGGTGATGGGGCAGGCCTAGAGGGGTGAGGCATTGTCTTCCCAGTCAGGGTCCTCAGCTCAATCTACAAGCCAGAACAGAACCTGTAGGCAGTAAATTCCAGAAAGAGCAGTGGAGGCATCATGGCTCCACTGATGGTTAAGGAGAGAAACCACTAGGCTCACCTTCCTGTAGAGAATCTATTGGTTAAAGTATGACTCATTTCTGGTGGCTGGCCAGGTGCTGGGGGGCAGAGGGATCATGGAGGTCAAAATTGAAGATTAATCTTTCAAAGGGTTGTCAAAGGGTTGTATTTGGGACTTGGGTTACATAGTCTTGCCTCCGAATGTTCACAAGGATTTGGACTAGTGCTTGCTACCGAAGGGAAAAAAATTGTGAGTCCTTTTAAAACCTGGATTATGTTTCAAATAGCACAAGCACACCTAAATTCAAACTGCTTTATCACAAGAAAGGTGTTTCAGCCAGCTTTTTTTTTTTTTTTTTTTTTTTTTTTTTAAGATTTTATGTACTTATGAGAGACACAGAGAGGCAGAGTCTTAGAGGAGAAGCAGGGTCCCCATGGGGAGCCCGGTGCAGAACTCCATCCCAGAACCCTGGGACCATGCCCTGAGCTGAAGGCAAGAGGCTCAACCACTGAGCCACCCAGGTGCCCCTCAGCCAGCTTTTTATCTGAAACCTCTATTACCTAACCACAGTCTGCTGATTGAAGTTGCATTACAATTTGGCTTTTGCTTGGAAAGACTTAGAAATGAGGAAGGTGATCTTGAGGATTCCTTATCTATACAAAAGGGACAATTTTCTCAGCTTTCTCCTGGTTTGCATGAAGCATCCCTTCAGTATGCCTTTGCTTTTGGTCTTTGACCATCATCACTGCATTCCGAATTTGCTGATTTCCACAGCAAATAGGCTTTGGAAAGAGAAAGTGCCAAAGAGGGAAGAGAGAAGTACTATTACAGGTAGGAAACCGATCTCTTTCAAGTCTCTTTATGAACTAAACTGGATGTGAAATATGTAGAGGTAGAGACACTAGTGATCTTCCTGTAGTCCTGACAACCCAAGAGGTTGTATGTTAATTTCTCAGTTATTTTTTTTATTAAGATTTTATTTATTGGGCAGCATGAGTAGGTGGGGAGGGAGCAGCAGACCCCCTGCCGAGCAGGGAGCCTGATGCGGGGCTCTATCCCAGGATCTCAGGACCTGAGCCGAAGGCAGAGCTCAACTGACTGAGCCACCCAGGTGCCCCAACTTCTCAATTTTTGATGATAAAGGAAAAAAATTGTACAACATCAGTTCAGAATGCCCTTAGGTAAGAGCACTCATTTATTGTCTAATAATAATAATGATTAAGTAAAATGTATAATTATATAATGGGATATCATGGTACCTAAAACATAGACAATATGAAGGACATTTGTTAATGTATTTTAAACGAATATTCAAAATGTACAATAGGACCACATTTTGTAAAACCAATAACAAATATAAGGATATACAACAAGGTTTTAGTGGTTTCTGAAAAGGTGGATATTTTGGTTTACCTTTTGCTTTTTTTCCTTCAACATGTATTGCTTTTGTAATAAAACCTATTTAAGGAAATGAGATAATGGTATAGGGCTCTCTTGGGGTTAATATTAAGTACCACTAATATACAAGTTAAAAAGAACAATGCTTTGTGAACAAGTGCATTTATTTACTTGTCCAGTAAAATAGCAATTGGGTAAAACACAAGCTTAAAAAGGCTGAACTTAGACTTAGCCAGCAGAGGGCAGTAAGAAGCTGGTGCCTGGTGAGGGACCTGTCTGCAAACCAGTCAGACAAGCACTAAGGACACTGCTCCTTTCCACAGCACTTACCCTAACATGGAACAGAGACAAAACTAGCGTGGCCCCTGCACAAGGATGACACGCAAATTTGTGAAGCAGCAGTAACTATAGCAGGCTCCCCGTAGAGAAAGCTGCTCCCGCTCTAATATTGTTGGGCTTTAGTTTACTACTTAGGCTGCATTCACTTTTTGCCTTGCTATTGCAGAATCTGCGATCCCTGGCCAGGGAGGTGGTTTTCCTTATGTCCCCGGAAGCTGTCAGTAGAGGTAACTGCGGTTATTTTTATATGCAACTAAGAAATTGAAACTCTGCAACACATTCCTGGAGGAAAGTTTTGAGTCCATAGTTGTATGCTTCTGTTAAACTCCTCTTCCACTACACTGAGATTTGTCTAGAGCCACCTGAAGGCCAGAAGTTTTCAGAGCAGGCCGATTGTGGAAAATGGGCAGAATTTGGAGAGTATCACGGCAATAGATGTATTTTGGAGATTACAGTTCACATGGTAGCTCCATGGAAGCATTGACTTTGTTCTGCGCTGTGTCTCTGGCCTTGAACAGTACTGGTGTGGTAGGCACTTGGATATTTTCTCTTGGATAAACAGATTTGACCTGCCTATCTATCTAGTAGGTTAGTTAATTTGTGGGTTTTCTTTTTGGGCTTAAACTCCACAGCCTCTTTTGCTACTTCAATTTCTCATGTTCCTTTTATTCTGGCAACAACAGTGAATCTCTCAGGGTGGGCCTCTTTTAGACTAGAATGGTGCCAAGCTGTCTCAGCCTCCCTTCACTCCAGCTCCACTCTTGGGAGCAGGGCAGGGAAGTGTATTCTATCACAATATGGGGTACAGAGCTCTAAGAGTCTGAAAAAATCATTTAAAAAGCCACTTTGAGACCTGGGAACAGTAAAAAGTACTTGAATTCAGTGAAACTATTTTTACATTGCAATAATTTCTTTTTGAAGCCTGTTTATTAAGACACATGCCAACAGCACAGTATTGTACAAGTGATGTGAATTAAACCTTACACAAATGTAGTATTTGTCTTTTTATTTTTCCTTCTCTCAACTCAACTGCCCCCAACTAAAATTTACAAATGGATATAAAAATCCTGTTTGTACCTGGTTGGCTTATTAGAGAAATACTGAGTGAAAGGCCTGTGATGTTTCACAGTGCTGCTACCAGATTAAAAGTAACAAAATGCACATAAATAAATATGAGATTCAGAACAAAAATAAATTATTAACATACAAAAGGCTACAAATTAAAAGCACTGTTTTCACTTTTGGATTTGATGTTCAGATATACTTGGTGAGTTCCAGAGATCAGCAGGTGTTTTGCTAAGTGGGGGCATGTTGTGCCTTGCTGGGAGGTACTTGCCCACACATGGATTATAAAGTGATGCAGTTATGCCATTATTTCAGGAGGGATTACACGTATAATTTTTAAGAAGAAATTAGAATCTTTTCTAACCCTGCCCACAAGTTGCATTTTGGAAGACAGCTATGATCACTATACCGCCAACACTACACCACCAACTGCATTGTGATATCCAGTTCACAATTTTATATTCTAAATTTCTGACATATGAAGAATCTAGAAACTTTATTCTAAAACATGAAAATGATGACATGTATAACATGAGCCATGCTGAAGTGCAGAAGCAGAATTCAGAGCCCTATACAGAGAGGAATCAATGTATATTAAATCTTTCAGATTTTAAGTTACTGTGGTCAAGGCATAAAGATCATCCTTGTTATGACCTTGACTGTGGCCTACTGTTGTCATAAGCGGCGGGCTCATTCAAAGCACTGCAGGGAGCCTGGCTGCCATCTGCAGTGCTGGGTAATAGAATGCAGGACGGAGGTAGGTGTGGCTGACATTCAGTGGCAACGTGATATTTGGGCTGCAGTAAAAATCAAACAGGTAAGAAATGAGTTGGTCTTCAAAGAGGCTTCTCTGTTTTAGTAAAACCACTTAGTGCTTTTCTCTTCTCAAAGCTTGAGAACAATGGGTAACAGTTCCTTTAATGAAGCAGAAATCTGCCTGAAAAATGCGTCTCAGGACTTTCTAGCATCATGACAATTTGAAATAAGTGTTCTGTTCATTTGTGGCAAATGAAGGTGACATTTTAAAAGCAAGCTGTATTTCTGGGGGTTGGGGGATAGAGAAGAAGAGGAAGGAGGGGGCAGAATGGGGAAAAAAATAGAGATAGGAAATGAAAGAGGGAGGTGTAGGGGGCCAAGGGCAGACTGCCCCAAGATGGGAGATTTTAGCATGAAGATTACTGGACTTAAAGACCACCAAACCTTAGTAGATTCAGGAGAAGTTCTTTACTTCCTCCACAGCCATCTGAAAAAAATTTATTTTTTAAAAAAGATTTTATTTATTTTAAAGGGAGAAAGAGCATGAGCAGGGAGGGGCAGAGCAGGATGAAGAAGGAGACAGAATCTGAAGCAGACTCCGCACTGAGCGTGAGCCCTAGAGGGAGCCCATCATGATCCTGAGATCGTGACCTGAGCCAAAACCAAGGGTCTGGTGGGCAACCGGCAACCCACTGAGCCAGCCAGGTGCCCCCATGAAGGATTGAGATGGAGGACCTGCTCCAGAGAGGGAGCCATCACCACAAATAACTACACTATAATGTGAACTGGCTATGGCAGACAGGGAGGAGTTCAGCAAGGCCTGTCTGATCAAGCTCCTCCCCAGTGTCTTCCCCAGTGGCCCAGCAAACATTCGTTTACCAAACATTTACTCTTTTCCATCTTTCTGTGAATTGCATTCCTTCCCTTTGAAGACCCAGACCGCTATCCCCTTCTCCTTAGTTCAGAATGACATATAGACCCAATTTTGCTGGTCTTTGGTATTTCTATGTCTGTGTGGATTCCCTGTACATATGAAATGAAATTTTATTTTCTCTTGTTAATCTGTCTTAGGTTAATTTGATTACTAGTCTAACTGATTACTAGTCCAACTGAAAGGATCTTGAAGGGCAGAGGAAACTCTTCCTCCCAGATAGTGTGAATGAGGAGGTAGGTGGAAAGATAGAGAAGGAGGAGGTGGGCATGGGTTGGGGAGAGAAGAAGACAAAGAAGGAGGGCTGGAGAGGGAGAGAAGAGTATGTTTATGTTATTATAAATTAGTAGGAAGCATTTATTAATTTACTCCACAAATTATTTTCTTCAGTTAAAAAAAAAAAGAATATCAACATTTGCCTTTGATTTTTGGAAGGTCAGTAATCACTTAACGTTATAAATCATGAGTTGAAAATACATATAAGTGAGTTGAATATCAGCTGACCAGTTCCAATTTTATTGCATTGGCTTGAACTCCAGTAGTTGTTTTCCCTGGTGTTCACAGTCTCAACTGTAATTATGTTTTATTGAAATGAAAGTGCTCATAATCATTGCCAGTCCTCAGACTTGTGCTTGTGTGCTAAAAAATGTTTCCTCTGAGCAGCAAAATAAAAAAATTATATCCTACCTATATAGGTTAACTGTGTCTTCCTTGCAATGCATTGAAATTTGGAGGTTGAGAGTCGGTTTGGATGAAAGATGCCAACTCTTCTTATTTAAGGAAAAAGTACATTTAATAACATTTATATTGCTTTATCTAAATTGAAACATAAATAACCAAGCAAAATCCTCCCAACATACAAATAACATGTAACAAAAACAGGAGCACCTGGGTGGCTCAGGCCATTAAGCATCTGCCTTTGACTCAGGTCATGATCTCAGGGTCCTGGGATTGAGCTCCACACCCAGGCTCCCTGCTCCGTGGGGAACCTGCTTCTCCCTCTCTCTCTGCCCCAATCCCCCCTCCCTTGGGCTCTCTCTCTCTCTCTAATTAAAAAAATAAATAAATAACATGGAACAGAAGCAAAACATCTGTGTAGGGTTGAGTGTGTGGATATATAAACTGTTCCTTTTAGCCCTGTAATTCTGATTCTTTGATTATTGCCTGTTACCTTGATAATATGAGTTAAACAACTGTGCAAGGAGTTAACAGACCTTTTATTCTATCATTTTGTCATTGTAGGCAATTCCCAAATTGCTTCGTGTCTGATATGAGTCCTTTGAAGGGGGTCTACCAGCAAGGGACTCTAACATCATTCTGGGCTCTATTTAAGACTAATTTAGTGCAAAAAAAGAGGTATATTTCTATTACACCTATCACGATCACTTCCTAGAGTTAGCTTATTGCTAAATGATATAAAATTTAGGGAAGTTTAGTAGTCTACACAATGACACAAGTGATCTTTTTAATACTATCATCTAAAGTAATCATAATGGTAATTGTGGTACATTATTTTCTGACTATCAATAGCTACCTTGCCTCTGTTAACATTTACTGGTTGTGTTACTTTTTTGAAGTGACTATGTGTGCCGAACAAAATGTGACCTTGCTACTTTCTCCTTATATTTCTGGAGAAGATGTTCTCTTGCCCGGAAAGAATTGGGTCTGGAGTTCAGGCCTGAAGTGACGAGATTTTTCCCACTGCAGACTCTACTTGCAGTTAGAATCTGAACTTTTAAGATAGAAGGACCTGAGAAATGGTCTTGTTTGATTCCCTCATTTTCCAACGGAAAAGACAGAGTCGCAAATCCTAGGACATGCCCCAAGAAGCCTTTGGATATGTGTATAAACTGAGAGATTATCAGATTTGTCAGTTTGTTGCAGATTAAAATGTTCTGTATTTAATATACATAGGATTGTTTGTCAATTAATGTGTAAGTGAAAACTATCAGTGATGAAAACCACAAACATCCTATAAATCCATAAACACTTGTTAGAGCCTGAAAAAACAGTTAATGATGGCAATTTAGTCGGCTCCTACAAGAGGAATGTATAGATGTGGAAGAGTGTTTATACAAAACCGAAATGTACGTGCATAATCTTTCACAAGTCTTCCTTTTGCAATGCTCAGCACGTTGAGTTTGTCCATGAACTGTTTTCCTGATCTGCACTTGTTCCATATTATCCAGGCCAACAACATGATATAGAGGAGTAATGTCTCTGGAACCGGAGATCTACAACAGAGACCTTTGTGGGGCCCTCAGAACATAGGTGAACCAATAAGTTCAACGATGAGTCTTTTAAAAAAAGATAGAAGGG